CGTCCATTGTGTTATGTTTGCAGTATACTCAGGGGAGAGTAATGGGATCGGGGTGTTAATTCGTCCATTGTGTTATACTTGCAGTATACTCAGAGGAGAGTAATCGGATCGGGGTGTTAATCGTCTATTGTGTTATACTTGCTGTATACTCAGGGGATAGTAATGGGATCCGGGGTGTCAATTCGTCCATTGTGTTATGTTTGCAGTATACCCAGGGGAGAGTAATGGGATCGGGGTGTTAATTCGTCCATTGTGTTATGTTTGCAGTATACTTGGGGAGAGTAATCGGATCGGGGTGTTAATTCGTCCATTGTGTTATGTTTGCTGTATACTCAGGGGAGAGTAATGGGATCGGGGTGTTAATTCGTCATTGTGTTATGTTTGCTGTATACTCAAGGGGAAGTAATCGGATCGGGGTGTTATTTCGTCCATTGTGTTATGTTTGCAGTATACTCAGGGGAGAGTAATGGGATCGGGGTGTTAATTCGTCCATTGTGTTATGTTTGCAGTATACTTGGGGAGAGTAATCGGATCGGGGTGTAAATTCGTCCATTGTGTTATGTTTGCTGTATACTCAGGGGAGAGTAATGGGATCGGGGTGTTAATTCGTCCATTGTGTTATGTTTGCAGTATACTCAGGGGAGAGTAATGGGATCGGGGTGTTAATTCGTTCATTGTGTTATGTTTGCAGTATACTCGGGGGAGAGTAATGATATCGGGGTGTTAATTCGTCCATTGTGTTATGTTTGCTGTATACTCAGGGGAGAGTAATGGGATCGGGGTGTTAATTCGTCTATTGTGTTATGTTTGCAGTATACTCGGGGGAGAGTAATCGGATCGGGGTGTTAATTCGTCCATTGTGTTATGTTTGCAGTATACTCGGGGGAGAATAATGGGATCGGGGTGTTAATTCGTCCATTGTGTTATGTTTGCAGTATACTCGGGGGAGAGTAATGGGATCGGGTTGTTAATTCGTCCATTGCCTTATACTCGCTGTATACTTGGGGATAGTAATGGGATCGGGGTGTTAATTCGTTCATTGTGTTATACTTGCTGTATACTCGGGGGAGAGTAATCGGATCGGGGTGTTATTCGTCTATTGTGTTATACTTACAGTATACTCGGGCCGGCTTCAAATGGGTACGAGAAAGAAGAGAGGCCCAAAGAAACCACCCCGACCCCGATCAACGTCACCATGGTGTTCACGTCACTGAACTTCTTCGTACGTATGTGGAGCCACGCACACTGCAGACCCTGACATTATATGAAGCAGGATACGCTGATACTGGGTTCGAATCCCCGATTGTTTCTGACACGATGGAAGTTCTCTCAGATTGTATACGCTTGTGAAGAGTGTGTCGTAACTGACGGTGTGGTGATTCTGTGTTTGAATCCCGATTCTCTCTGAGTGTATATTCTCTTTGCACTTAAGCGTTATGTAGAGCGTGCAATATTCGAGGACGTGCATTTCTGATTATGGCACTAAGCCTCTTGTTGTGTTGTGTGCGCGAAAAGGCGAAGCAGACAAACTTAGGCTCAGTATTAATCGTTACACTGCTGTACCGAGTCTAACAAAACCTAGTAGAAGGTAGCGTCAGCTAACCTTTTGGATTGACCAATCAGAACACAGCTTACCAAATCGCGAAAGTTAACATTCACACATACTGTTTGAACCTTTACCTCAAAAACTCGAACGATTCCGAATGCTATTTTACGCAAGATCGCTTCCGATGGATACACGCAATGAATAAACAGTCGCTGAAAATAGTGTTTTTGTCAATATTCAAGGATGTCTTCTTGCGAAAATATAAGCAAATAGTAACCATGTCATTAGAAACCCATAAGCGTATATACTGCAGGTCAAATATCTGTGTTTTATGCGGATTTTCATTGTTGATAGATCAGTGTCAACGACCAGGGAAGAGAAAATCCAAAAACCGTTTTGTAAGTCCCGCCGAAACCTTACAAGTAGTCGTTGTCGGATTGGTTAAATCTGTTCTGCCGTCTCGCGTTTGATTGGACGGTCATAGGTCGCTCAATTAGCTGACGCGACCTTCTACAAGGTTTTGTTAGACTCAGTACAGCAGTGTAACGAATAATACTGAGCCTAAGTTTACGTAGACTAAGGAGGGTGGGGTTAAAATAACCTTTATGCAACAAACATTAGATATATATATAGAGAGAGATTATTAACCTCGTGTGTTTCCGTATCATTAATATCATACATTAGGAATAAAAATTGTATTATGCGAGCCTTTGGCGAGCATAATGCATAATTTTTATTCCTAATATATGATATTAATGATACGGAAACACACGAGGTTAATAATCTCTTTATCATATAATGTCATTCTTAACATTACTCTTTAAAAAGAAGCAAATCGTACGTGAATTTATATGAAGAGAATCGATCATCGCGTAAGAATACTTAGCGGTACACCAAGGTGAAGGTCGTTCATGACGGCGGCATATGGTTGTGACTAGTCGCTAATACAGTGCAAACATAGCTCATACTTAAAATAAGATCTTTTGTCTAAAAAAGAACAACAAAATCGGGAAGAGTTTTCCTGGCAGTGTTTCTATTTTCATTGCGGGTAATCACCTCATCAATATCAGTTTCTGATGCCTGACGGAATCGATTCGTCGTCTGTATTTTGATCGATAGATCGAAATCCTTGGTTGGTATCTTTCTTAGACGATTGTCTTTCAGTCGTACCTTCAATTTGAACGAAGTACTCCGTTTCATGTTTTCCAAAGTCAATTACTGCAGTAACGACTCCAGAACCTCTATCATCAATTCTTACTGACTCACCAATTTTGAGAATGGGGGCAGCCATGTTTGTTTACAAACAATGTAAACTTGCGGCGACGTCATCAATTAAATGTTAAAACGTTTTAGGATTCGCATGGCGTGTATGGAGTTTTGTGAAAGTAGTTCATGGATTGACGTAATTCGCATCGTTATCAGATTTGGAAACCAAGTTTATCAGATTGCTTTATTGCACCGATAACACCCCCCATTAGATGATAAACGGATTACACGGATGCATTTCGTTTTTTTCCAGGATGTTTCCAAAGCGACCCTGTCCACCACGTTTCTTCTACACATGGTGAGTTAATGGTTTGGATTTTAATGGCTGAAAGTCCTCTAAGGTTTCGGTGATTGTGGTGAAAAATTGCAAAAGATGCCAGATTTAAATAGCCAACCAGTATGTGTATATAACGTGTATCATTATCCTTATGAATAGTGGGAATTTGCCAGAACTATACCTAAACGTCAGATACATAGTACCACGACTACAGATACTTTGGCGGGGCGTGCTCGTGGGTTCGAATCCTGGTCCACCCGAGTTGTTTTAGGTTTGTCAGCATGTACCCATACTCGTGGGTTTCACGGAAGTGGTCAGTCATGTTTTCCTATAACACTATCTAAGAGACAGTGATGTGACGATATACTGTTAACAGCGATCCAAATGGGGCCTATAGTCTGTTTGCAGTGAAAACGTACCAATGAATTTCACTTCAAACAAAAAAGTAAATCAAATCAAGTGAAATAAAGATTGCGAATCCTTATAATTTTACCTTGCCAAATGAACATATAAATCTCAGAATTTTATTCAACTTAGGATAAAAGTTGTTAAACAAACAATCATAAATTAGTTTCAAATCGCTATTATTGGTTTGTATTACAAGGGGGTAAGCGCAGTAGATGAAACACCGAGAACTAGTAGTATTGGTTTAAGTTAACGCTCATTACGTACAGCACGTTCTTTGTTTCACTGTTCCATCTACTGCGCTTACCTCCTTGTAATACAAACCAATAATAGCGATTTGAATCTATGATCGTTTATTAAACAACTTTTATCCTAAGTTAAATAAAATTCTGAGATTTAAATGTTCATTTGGCAAGGTAAAATTATGAGGATTCGCAATCTTCATTTCACCTGATTTGATTTACTTTTTTGTTTGAAGTGAAATTCATCGGTACGTTTTCACTGCAAACAGACTATAGTTTTGTTGTAATCACTATCATGTGAGAAACTGATGGATAAATATCATCATGACATGCATTATCATTCTGTAACATATTGTGTTAGAACTTGCTCGAATCGAAATAGCAAAGATTACCTACTGGAATGAAGCTCGGCCATTGTGTGTGTGTGTGTGTGTGTATTGACGACAGTCTGTCAATGGTCTAGGCTGGACCAAACAATCCAGTGATTGGTATTGTGAAGGCGGGTTTGCGCCACAACCAAGTCCTCGCTTGAGCACGCTATAAATCTGGTCTCCTCGGACTCGCTGACTTGGTTGGCGCATGTCTTTGTATACTATACTGTGTAACCCATTGCTCAGTCACTGTTTGGTTTGGTCCAGAGTGGGGTATTTGCAGACTGCTGTCTTATGACTGGAATATTGGAGTGTGGCATTAAAACACATGCGAACAAACAAACCTTCACGGTGACTGTTCTGAATGCGACTTGTCATCAAACTGTGGCTAATGTATGAGTGAGTGAGTTTAGTTTTATGCTGCGTTTAGCAATATTCCAGCAATATCACAGCAGGGGACGCTAACATGGGTTTCACACATTATACCCATGTGGAGAATCGAACCCGGGACTTCGACGAGCGAACGCTTTAACCACAAGGCCCAGCTAATGTATGAGTGAGTTGACTGACGTAATAGCTAGTGGTCAAGCTCTGACTTATTGATTGTGAAACCTGTCAGTAATGCCTTCTATACTCTAGCTACCATGTCTAGCTGTTTTAGCACAATATACCCGGTATTAACCCTCACTAGTACACACTATATATATTCTTATTATATAAATAAATGAATGTGATACGTACACTATTCACCGGATCAGTTCAGTTGCCAGTCACACCGAGTACTGCCTGCTGGAGACTGACAAGTTATCCCCATGATACCCCCGGCAGTTCACGTGCAATACATTGTAACGAGTTACTCCGATGTTTGTTTCCAGAGTTGGTCTGACAAACGCATGAAGCGAGTTAACGGTACCGAGGATCACATGGTGTTTTACGCACACGAAGTCTGGACTCCGCCACTTGTCATCAACAATGCGTAAGTCGTTATTGTGGGAAGCGTCCATAAAAGATAACTATTTGGTATTTAATTAAACCATACAATACGCAGTTGGAATTTTCTTAAACATGGACTATGATCTCCTTGTGCTTTGTTTATTGTTTTGTATTATACGCTTGTGGCTTCGTACACTGAACAAACAACTATGTCGTGTGTACATTTGTTATAAGTAATATGCGCGCTGAATGGCCATGTCACTTTTGTAAATGCATGATGTTCATACTTCCATGGTGGACCCGTGAAGATCCGGGGTAGAATAAGTCTTCAGCAACCCATGCTTGCCATAAAAGGCGACTTTGCTTGTCGTAAGAGGCGACTAACGGGATCGGGTGGTCAGGCTCGCTGACTTGGTTGACACATTTCATCGGTTCCCAATTGCGCAGATCGATGCTCATGCTGTTGATCACTGGATTGTCTGGTCCAGACTCGATTATTTACAGACCGCCGCCATATAGCTGGAATATTGCTGAGTGCGGCGTAAAACTAAACTCACTCACTCACTCACTCACTTCCATGGTGTGTAGATAATACATACAAATTTACAAAATAGCTAATCATATATTAACAATCCCAGAAAAACATCCTGACCAAAGTAGTGTTGTTTCCTTGGTTACGCAGCACTCGGCTGTTTGACAGCGTTAATCCTATGATTATAATAATGAGCAACGATTCCCGCCGCACGCCGGCATCCGCACCGTACGATAACATGCCATCAGCTGGCTTGCCGAGCCGTTACATGGCTTCCTCTCAAACGGTATATACACTGAACTCGAACTAGTTTTAATTGATTTAAGATAATCTAGTCGTTATACTGTCCTTCGCTGGCAGGTTATAAAATAGTATATTAAATAAATTTATTCTTAGCACATAACTTTTGTCGTCACGATATGGCTGAAAGATTGCCTATGTGACTTAAACCTTCAACTCACTCAGACGGTCTAAATTGTAACCTGGGACACTTTACCGTACAAATACTATTGACTCCCCAAACAAACATTCTGTTGTAGATCCTAGCCTTGCATATGCATACTGTTGTATTTCTTTCATCACGGGTGCGATGGGGTAGCCTAGTGGTTAAAGCGTTCGCTCGTCACGCTGAAGGCCCGGGTTCGATTCCCCACATGGGTACAATGTGTGAAGCCCATTTCTGAAGTCCCCCGCCGTGATATTGCTGGAATATTGCTAAAAGCGGCGTCAAACCATACTCACTCACTCACTCTTTCATCACGTCAGGTATATACTCAACACCGTCTTATACAAAACCACTGGTCCATCTAGATAGCACCTGTAAGCCCTCAAAACAAATGTCTAAGTGTGTAAAAAACATATGACTGTCTACTTTTTGTGTAGTCTTAGTGCTCAGGAGATCCCCAGTACTTTAACTGAACTTTGTCGTGTGTCGTATTGTAGAACTGGCCCCTGCTCTCCTTTACTAAACTAAGACCTGCCTCCTTATAATATCAAACGGAATATGTTAAATCATGAATATAAGATAACATTCTTCTCCCCACACATAGGATCGGCAGGTCAGCAAGTGTTCTTCAGGGAGACAGTGTGCCCCTCAAAGTGTTAAAGGACGGAACAGTAATATGGATACCACGAGTGGCCCCTAGTACAGCATGTGGGTTCGACATTCGATATTTCCCATACGATATTCAGATCTGCTATGTGGAACTCGGGAGCTGGGTCCACCCAACTTCGGATGTCACGTTGAGAAGTGTCAAGTCACGTGACAAGGATGTTTCCCTGGCTCTGTACTCTGGAGACCGACAGTGGCACATCATGGAGGACTACCTGTCGGTCAAGTCTCACAGTGTGGAAGGGGGTTTTGGCTTCAACTACTCCAGCCTGACTTACACCTTCGTGTTTCAGCGTCAGAGACCGTTCTATACCTTACTGATGCTGGTGCCGTTCTGTTTCCTCTCGTTCCTGTTGAGTGGGGTGTTTCTTATACCATTCACAAGAGCAGACAAGTTGTTGTATTCCTTGGCAATGCTGGTGTCCCTCAGTGTGTTTCTGTTCCTTCTGTTCAGCATACTGCCTCCAGTTTCAAGTTCGGATGACTTCCACTTGGGTAAGGTCCCTTATAATACTATGTCGACCCGTGAAGATCCGGGATAGAATAGGTCTTCAGCAACCCATGTGCTTGCCATAAAAGGCGACTATGCTTGTCGTAAGAGGCGACTAACGGGATCGGGTGGTCAGTTTCGCTGACTTGGTTGACACATGTCATCGGTTCCCAATTGCGCAGATCGATGCTCATGCTGTTGATCACTGGATTGTCTTGTCCAGACTCGATTATTTACAGACCGCCGCCATATAGCTGGGATATTGCGGAGTGCGGCGTAAAACTTAACTCACTCACTCTCTATAATACTATATCGTATCTAAAACTTAGATTTATCATTTATAGACAATGCATACGGATAAAGGGCAGGTACTGCTAGTACAACGCGCTATTTTCTGTGAGGAGTTGTCTCCTTCACGGTAACAGGATCTGCTGAACGTGGTTTACTTTTGATCGTGACCATGGGTATCCCTGGGGATTCCGGGAGCTTGAACAGGTTTGCTGACATGGTTCGTGACATGTCATGGTACTCGGGGGCACGGAATAGTGCTCACAACATCGATCACTGGAGTGCCTGGCCCACACTTGATTGATTACAAGCCTTCATCTGTGTCGTTAAACCGAACGGGGTAGACTGAAAAACTATTCAATTCGGCGTTAAACCCAACGAAGGCACTCGTACATGCTTCTCTATCTTAACCTACGGTGGAACAAACGATGAATATCACCAGTATGAAATGACATATAGTCATCTTGCGAACCTGCTTTGGTAGCATTTGGTTACTTGAGTATCATTATACTACTCAAACGAAGATAAGGACATCCCGATCGTTTCATATTATTATGGTTAACCTGCCATTTCATGATTATCTCAAGTACTGACAGAGTGGTTCAGAATTATTTTGAGTGTAATATATTAGTGATAAGGTACCATTTGTTACCGTCACACCTGGACATGCAAACACGCGGACATGTGTCCCTGAGAAATACCCCGTATTTAATGTCTAGAATAGGAAACCATTACGAGGAAATGTAGGGGAATGGAACCCGGGTTTGAGTCTTGTCGAGCGAGCGCTTTAACCCACCTCGACCACACATCTCTATAAAATGAATGACCCGAGAAGATCCGGGTTAGAATTGATCTTCAGTAACCCATGTTTGTAGTAAGAGGCGACTAACGGGATCGGGTGGTCAGGCTCGCTGACGTGGGTGACACATGTCATCGGTTCCCAAATGCGTAGATCGACGCTCATGTTGTTGATCACTGGATCGTCTGGTCCAGGCTCGATCATTTACAGACCGCCGCCATATAGTTGGTATATTGCTGAGTGCGGCGTAAAACTAAACTCAATCACTCACTATAAAATGAATATTTATGTAAACATCAATGATGGGTCTGAAGTCTCTTTTTTGTAATGTTTCTGAATACCGACCAAAACCAATAGTTATTCCCATCGTTGATAGAGAATACTGCTGATATTGACTTGTTTCAGGGAACTACATGGTGTCCGTGGTAACCCACGGGCTGAGCGTGATTGTGGTGAGCGTGATCCTGCTTAGCGTCCACAAGTACAAGGAGGCTACGGAAGACAAGGGCAAGCCCAGCAGCTGTACCTCCCTGCCTGCCATTGACTTGGTTCTGTCTACCGTGTCGGCTCTCGTCAACATTGTTCTAGTGGCATTATACTCTACAAGACTTGGGGACGCGGATTCGGTGGTGTCACAACTTCCACGAGTCTCCTAGAGTGAGTGAGTGAGTTGGGTTTCACGCCGCTTTTAGCAATATTCCAGCAATATCTCGGCGGGGGACATCAGGAATAGGCTTCACACATTGTACCCATGTGGGGAATCGAACTCGGAACTTCTGCGTGACGAGCAAACGCTTAAACCACTAGGCTGTCCCACCGACCCGGAACTCCAAGAGCAAAAGTTACATGACCATTCCAATGGAATATGTACATTGCCGATCTCATACAGTCTGTGGCAAATAGTGAAGTGCTGTGACCGACATGACGTTAGAGGCTAGAAGGCCGTACGTATCACGAATCAGAGGAATTAGATAAATTGTTCCGATTGTTTGTTTCAAAGAAAGAACAATCATAATTCGCCTGAAGAAAAAAACAGCATACACCCCGTAACGTTGTTTTCCCCATCAGACATAAGGTGACATAAAGACAATCTCTCCTTTATCTGTATAACTTACATTCAAGGTGTTTCTGTACATAAGAATCCGTTGTGTTTGTGCCACGCTCTCCAGTATTTTATACATATTGTATACACTGCGTTCGTGTCACCATGGAGATGGTTCGTGAATCGGAAGAGGTCGTGATTGACATATACATGTATGGCCAAGGTCACAGTGTAGGTTTCAGGGGAATCCCCTATGTTACAGGAAACATGCAGTTGTTGGAATGATATGACCAAGACTGTACCCGGGGCTGATGGCCCACTTATGTGCAAAGCGAGAATGAATGAATGATGTGAATACATATGTCCGTCAATTATTTTCTGTTGTATTCTCTTTAATGTTTAACGCCACTATAACGCTTATATGGCGGTGATCTGTAAAGAATCGAGTCCGGGCCAGACAACCCAATGACTGACATCATGAGCATCGATCTACAAAAAGACATCTCTCAAACAAGCATGACTGTTTTAACGGACGACCGTAGCAGTAATATCGAGATCATCTGTCATATCAAGACATGAGAAGGAAAGTCAACCTGTCCACTACAATAACACGGAAACATGGGACCTGCACCAGACATTGCTCTCCCTCACATTTACTGTAACCTTGGTAACACGATGAGCTAAGGTTGGCAGTCATGGCTGTCATGTACAACGTGTGACTGGATAAGCGATGGGCTAAGGTCATGGCAGTCGTGTACAACGTGTGAGACGTTGTTAGACATTTACTGTAACCTTGGTAACACGATGAGCTAAGGTTGCATGGCAGTCATGTACAACGTGTGACTGGAGGAGACGTTGTTAGACATTTACTGTAACCTTGGTAACACGATGAGCTAAGGTTGCATGGCTGTCATGTACAACGTGTGACTGGAGGAGACGTTGTTAGACATTTACTGTAACCTTGGTAACACGATGAGCTAAGGTCGTATGGCAGTCGTGTACAACGACAGGCAAAGTATGGACGGTGCAATAAGTAGAAAGCATCAAAACATTCTGAAAAGTAGTTGACAGGAGAACTCAGACCCATCCTTAACGAAGCGAATGTGTTATTAACAGGGCTAATTTTACATGAACAGATTCTCCTTATGATGAAAGAAAATATCAGATAAAAATCTGAAAAGTGCTTCCCTAGTAGGGTGACCCAAATATTTCTGTGAAATATACTCTATCCTTATTTTATCATATGCATCACATACAAATAACAGACGATATTCGTCTTCGAAATCCGCCGTACAGAAATGGCAAAATCTTAAATGCTTGGCCAGTGACTGTTTAGGACCAGTATTAATAATTATATCTGTCAAGCCAAGTCTAAATCCTATTACTGTATTTCTCCGTTTCTTGATTGTAATGTTTGATAAATAACTCTCAGGACCAATAACTGTTTTAAAAGATCTACATACATCAAATCTGGAACCTAAACTAAGGCCATTCATCCAATTCTGACGACACATCTCAACAGCTCTTAAACGAAATTCGTTCATTAAAAACCCTTATTACCAACACCTTGGAAACCCCAGACCCATAGCCATCATCATCTATGGACAAAATATTGGCATGTGCAATATGACTCCGAATATTTGGAACGTGTGGTCATAAAATAAAGTATTTCGATTGATTGTTTTCTTTCCCAGAGCATCCATGATTCATCCATGTCGTATTGTAACAACTTGTATTCTTGTATTTCATAAGAACATCCGACTGTGCCCTTGTACCATCCCGCGCAAGGCGGTTCATTATTGCATGGTTTCTCATACTAAATATCTGACCGTCCTCAAGATGTCCAAGATTGTCCAATTTTGTCCTAATGTTACTACATACTGCCGCCAATATACCTTTAGGTGACCTGGCGTTGTTGGCTTAAACAAACATTATTGCTTGCAAAATGTGTTTCATGGATGTTATATATAAAGTGCATTGAGACATGCTGATCTACGGTCAGATAATGCAGATGCTAAGTTATATTCACGTATCATGAGATGAGATAGTGTGCTCAGTCTTACAGTTGATATCTTGAAGTTGCTTTTGCTCTGTAGTCTGTACAGTTGATATCTTGAGTTACGTTGCTGAGTATGTGAGGTACATCTGTACGGGATCACAATCAGCAGTGTGTACAAAATTATGTCACCTTGACGGGCTAACGAACTAATGTGGCCGTTACGAGTTACGATCACCTTAGTTAAGATCACCCTCTTGCAGGGCTCTCATTGTATTAGATATTGCTAATGGCGGCTGTACACAAAATATGAAGAATAAAAGCGACGAAACCTTGACCATGATTAAAGTATGTTACCTGTCTTGTCCTCCAAGGGGCTTGATGGATCAGGTAGTCACGTGACTTGGTTAACACTGTTGGATCGTTGTCCCCTGATCGTCCGGCGGTATGTTGTTGCTCACTGTGTTACCTGTAATTGATTAGGGTCTGTAGCTAACAAAACACAACATGTATAAACATACCCGTCAGGGTTAATATATGCATAAGTGAATTTGAATTTCAAAGGTAAATTGTTAGAATTCCAAAAGATTATAACAGATGGGTTACCAGATTAATAACCCCTTTGGGGACAATTACAATAATAAAGTCATTACTTGTATCAAAATTGAATTATCTTTTTCTCGCATTGCCCAATCCTCCTGTGGATTTCTTAATGGAACTCAATGAACTGTTTTTCAACTTTGTTGGGGATAATCCCCACATGGGTACAATGTGTGAAGTCCATTTCTGGTGTCCCCCGCCGTGATGTTGCTGGAATATTGCTAAAAGCGGCGTAAAACCAAACTCAGTCAGTCAGTTGTTGGGGATAATAAAAGAAGGCAAGGTTTGGTATGGCAAGGTATTTATTCTTATGTAAAATCTCTAAAATTGTCTTGGATAAGAAAATTATTTACAAATGAGAACAATACATGGGAACCTTTGTTTTGTTACAACACCATGATTGTCATAACCCATTTATTGATGGAGATGTCCTCCCAAGGACCCTTGCAAAAACAATAAAGAACCATTTTGGGTAAGATTATCTTAATGCATATGGAGATTTTTCAAAGCAAATAAGGCCAAAAACATTTGAAAATTTTCTTGCAGAGAGCATTTATTACTCTAATATTGTTATTGGTAAACATAGTTTCTTTAATAAAAGTATGAGCGATAAAGGCTTAACTCAAATAGTTGCAAAAGATATTACTTTATATTCCTTTCTTCCAAAAATTTACAGCTTAAATGGCAAGATGACACAGTCTTATTGCAAACTTTCGATTGGCCAAAACGTTTATCTAAAACCTTTCAAGGATACACAAGACACAAAATTACGATGGTTTCAATATAGACTGCTGCACAGAATAATTGCAACAAATGTATATTTATTTAAAATTGGTAAGGCCGAGAATCCTTTGTGCAGCCTCTGTAATTCTGATCAAGAAAGTATTTTGCTTCGTTTTGGGGAGTGTCATGAAGTGAAGGCTTTTTGGAATGAGTTAATTCTTTGGACAACTAATAGCTGAAATCATATTCACAACATGAATTTAAGGTGAGAACTCATTTTATTTTATATAAAGGAAAATGTAATAACTGATAGGATTTTTCTTTCAAAGTTTTTTATGTTTATAAATGCAACTTAAAAAAGATGAACCTAACTCTCAAGTATTTTCAATATGAATTAAAACATAGATATACAATAAAAAATCTTTACTGATAAATGTAAACAAAATAAATTTGATTCACAGTGGATGTCCTACCACTATTTGTTTCAAGGCTCCAGTTAACTGATTTCAGATTACTGAATCTTCATATCTTTTCACTACAAAAGTCCAGCCATGACCATGTTTTATAATGTTATGTTATAATGCTTGGTATATCGGCCATATTTCTTGGTCAAGAATGTACGAATGAAAGAAAATTCTATCAGCTTCACTTGATATGCATGTATGTATTCACACCAGCAGCTTATTATCACTATTAATTTTTAAATATATAAGACATCTACGAGGGATTACAGAACAGGAAGGGTTAATTACAGATGGCATGTGACAGTTGGCAGAAACAAAGCTACACCCCTCTGTATACCGCCGACCAGGTGAGCTATATGTGTTATACCCATATAATGTATCACCTGGTTACTTATATTAATGTCATGACGTTCATCAAGTTCTTTTTTCTGTACTCCGGTTTCTGTGGTATGAACTTTCATAAATTATACATTTGATTGAGTTGCTATATTGGATGTAATTGTATATGCATTGGCGAATCAATAAATAAAGGAATCAGGAAATACATAATTAATAACACGTATCTTCCTATATATTTACCACTCATACGTCTGATCACGTGGCAATATCACTCTTTATATATCCATCTGCAAATTGGTGAGTAAATAGCACCTATCAACTTCCCTCTGTCTTTATACAGTATATATCACCCTATATCAACTTCCCACTGTCTTCATACAGTATATATCACCCTATATCAACTTCCCACTGTCTTCATACAGTATATATCACCCTATATCAACTTCCCTCTGTCTCTTTATACGGTATATATCACCCTATATCCTCTCTGTC